TCTGTATTGTGCTTGTGATATGTTGTAAAATGTTGTATGTCTGTTAATGTTTCCCTCCTTTTATCTTTAAAATAAAAAAATAAAAAATAAAACAAGGCTGGTGATGTTTAGAAAATGTATCTTTTCAGGACTTTCATGACCTGAAAATTATTCCACTTAATCTGCTTATCTATAGCCAACACCAGGTATGACCACCCAGAGGGAACAGAAAATATAATGACCTTGTGCTTTTCCTCTTTCCTTGGTGCCTCTCCCTATCCATCTCCAAGAGGGTCTCTCTCTGGACTCTCTTGCCTTAACTGCTTGTGTTCCCAAAGCTGTCAACAAGGGACATTCATTAGCCTGTTCTGAATAAGTGTCCCTGGGGCAACTTGTGTGTGCGTGTATTTTTTTTTCACTGAATTGATCCCCCGGTGCATTTTCTCAATAGAACATATGTAACCTGTGTCACCCTGAATGAAGTACAACCTGGAGTGGGCAGGGGAGTTCATATTGTTCTGCCTTGTGAGGTCACCAGCTTCATTTCTCCTCAGTTAGGAAAATCTAAGGTTACATTGCTTCTCATAATTGATTTAGTCTTCTACTTAATGACTCTGCTTTGAAACGACAGGATGTCCAAAATTCTAACTCAGCTCCAGTCTGAATGAGTTGAAAATCAGAGATATCAAATTCTTACTAAGCTAGAAACTAAACTGTGATAAGACCAGTAGAAGACTCCTTACCCAGAGAAGCCCCCAAAAATTGTGGATTTCTATGAAATCCAGAACAGGTTATCATGGCAGACAATGTAAAAATGCAATGAATTTTGTACTATTTTATAATTATGAGGTTTATAATTTTGACTTACTTCTAAAAATATTTTGGATTAAAATTTCACCACAAGCATTTGGATAGTCAAGTGAAGAAGTATGTGCCCTGCCTGTAGCTTCACTGACTTTACTTCTCTGTGGCTGTGATACCTGAATGGATGCAGACGTGAATACACTCAACCATGCCCTGAAGACTCCAGGTTGGTAATCACAGCGGGGAACATCTAGGGCATTGTGTAACTTTGGTAATACTAAGGATCACCAGGGCTTACCACATGCTAAATAGACACTCTACCACTGAGTTATATCCCCAGCTCAATTTTGTTTTTCTGTGTAAAGTTTGAACCAAGTGCCTCATGCATGCTAGGCAAGTGCTCTATCCCTGAGTTATGTCCTCACCTTCCATGTAACTTTTCTTTATCCCTAATCCCAACTGTGGACTGCCATTCCCTAGGGATTATGATATCAATGTAGTGTGTTCCAACCAACTTTTTAAAAAAATTTAAGATACAGAAAATACCATATCATATATAGTAGAAAATACTCTGCAAAACTTTTGTTTAAGTTGGAGATATATATATATATATATACATATATATGTTTACTAAAAATATATAAAATATAGAATTAATTATGGTCAAAAATACTTGCAACTATTGCCTTATTGTAAGTGTTATAAAAAAATGCTGGGGAAAGTTTTGAAAAAAATCAATAAGGATATTCCCCAACGGTGTGATTTTCAAAGCCATACACACTTGAAATACCCATGACGTTCTCAAATATGGAGTCTCTCAAGAGTCCTAGGTCGTAGTTTTATACACTTTCTCCATAAAATTCACATATTCACAAACATATATACAAAATATTTTGCATGTGATTTATTGGATTCACAGATATAATAAATATAATTTAGAAACTAATAAATTCCTGTTATGATTTCCTGTTTTAAACATTCTTAAGCTTCCTAAATTTGGTGGAATGTAACAGAATCTTATTTTTACCAGAAAATGAAACTAGATCCACAGGTTCTCAATGCATTTAAGTCTACTCATATTATTCTAACTTAATTTTTATTTACCCTCTAGGCACATATAAAGAATGTTTCCAAGGACAGAATGGCATGTTCTTAATGATCTTGAATTGTAAAAAACAGACACAGACAGAGAAGCTTCTTCCATCGGGAAGAAGTGAAGATCTGGCGTATTTCTGCGATCATGAAAACTAAGCCAGTTGAACCAGAAGAAAAATGATAGATTGTTATAATTACATTTCAAAGGTTAAAAATGACAGGTGACATTTAAGAAAATTCTATTACATTCCAAAAATTCTGAAAGCAGTTAATTGACCAAAAATATATGCCAATGAATGGGGTCCTTTGGAAGTAAGGAAAATGAGTGCTGAGAGACATAAATTAGTAAGTCTTCTGGCAAAAGGCAGCAGCTAAAGCCATTTCTTTATTAACTGATTACATAGACTTGTTGAACAGCAGTGTGGCAGAGACTTGCTTCATGTGGGCACTGTGGGGAGTAACACACAGAGACATAATGAAAGAACTTCCCCACATAAGACAAATGAGTATTCGACACCTTTCAAATGAGCCACTAGTATGGGTCATGCTATCAGAGCTTTTTTTTCTGTTCCCCTCATAGTTCAGCTGTTCACTTCAGAGTACCTTTTTGTCCTCATCTTTGATTGCTCTCTCTCTTTTACCTTGAGACTCAAAAACTTCCTGATAATGAAAAATAAAACCATGCTGACTGAGTTCATTCTTCTGGGTTTAACAGATGTTCCTGAATTTCAGGCAGCAATTTTTACCTTTTTTTTTCCTCACCTACACACTCAGCATCACTGGAAATACAACCATCCTCATCCTCACTGTGCTGGACCCCCACCTTCAAACTCCCATGTATTTCTTTCTGCGGAACTTTTCCTTCTTGGAAATTTCCTTCACAAATGTTTTTATTCCCAGGCTTCTAGCCAGCATCACAACGGGGGATAAGAGTATCAGCTTTGCTGGCTGCTTCACTCAGTATTTCTTTGCCATATTCCTAGGAGCAACAGAGTTTTATCTCCTGGCTGCCATGTCCTATGATCGCTACATGGCCATCTGCAAACCTCTGCATTACATGACCATCATGAGCAGCAGAGTCTGCATCCCGCTGGTTCTTGGCTCTTGGCTGGGGGGGCTAGTGGCTATTACACCACCAATCACTCTGATGAGCCAGCAGGACTTTTGTGCATCCAACAGGTTGGATCATTACTTCTGTGACTTTGAGCCTCTTGAAGAACTCTCCTGTTCGGACACAAGCCTCGTCCAGAAAGTTGTCCTTCTTATGGCATCTGTGACCCTAATACTCACTTTCATGCTGGTGATTTTCTCCTATACTTTCATCATCAGAACTATTCTGAAGCTTCCCTCAGCCCACCAAAGAACAAAAGCCTTTTCCACCTGTTCTTCCCACTTGATTGTCATCTCTCTCTCCTTTGGAAGCTGCTTCTTTCTTTACATTAAGCCTTCAGCAAAGAAAGGGGATGCATTAGACAAGGGAGTAGCTCTGCTCATCACTACAGTTGCTCCTTTATTGAATCCCTTCATTTACACTCTAAGAAACCAACAGGTAAAGCAAGCCTTCAAGGACACAGTCAAAAAGCTTGTGAATGTTTAAAGAATTTAAGAATTCAAGCCTTAATGAACAAATTGCGCCTATGTTCCAAGCTCTCTGACAATTAATAGGTACTCAACAAAGAATTTAAGTCCAGTCTGGTGAAACCTGGAAATAAATTAAAACCTGTTAAGTGTTAATATAAGGAAATGCATATGATTTTCTGAATGAAAAAGCAGTTAAATTATTCAACTGAGCAACTCAACCCAAATTACAGAGCCAATAAATGTTTTCAGAAAGGGTACCATTTGTCTGGGGTTTTGACAAATAGCAATAAGACAAGAAAGCAAAAATAGATAAAAATAAATTTGGTCAGAAATAATATTGTGGGTGGGCACACAAAATTTCAATTCAAAAAAATTGAATAGATGTTATTGTCACTCATTTCAGTCAAAACAAAGGAGTCAGAAAAAAGTTGAGGCTGAAATTGTAGTTTTGGATTAAGTTCATTTCTCATCTCCAATAACTTAATGCTCATAGTGTGAAGATATCTGAGCTTGGGTCTAGATCTACGGATCTAGCAGTCCTTATGACGTAGATGTTAACTGATGGTGTAGGAATAGAGGAGGTCACGGATAAAAGCACCCACAGAAGACTCTCAAATGTTAAACTTTAAGAATCGCCCCAATACTTGAGGAACAAAAGAAGCACAATGAGTAATTAGAGGAGCAGTAGATCTATGTAATTCACAGGAAGAGAATATCTTAAAAAGCAGGTCATTGGCAATGTGAAATACAGCAGAAACTGTAACATGAAGGATGAGATATGTGAATCGATAGGTCAGGCTTCCCTGTTGATCTTAGCCATTTTTAGTGAATGTAGAAAATGGGGTGAGGTAAGAAGAAACCTGGCTGTGTGGGTTACCAGTGAGTAAGAGGTAGAATGTTAGAGAGTGGTAACATGGAATTTTACAAGTAGAGGAATGAAAAGAAAAATGACCTCCAAGTGATGTTTCCTTATACTATCCTTGCTTTCTCGCACACAGTATCACACAGTAATGGCTGTATATTTAAAGTCCATCTTCACTTCTAGTCTGTAAGATCTAGGAGTGCAGGGATAATACATTCTGACCCCATTCCATGTGCTTAAGTAACTATTGAATGGATGAATAAATGAGAGGTGGATGAATAGATGAAAAAAGTGAACGAGGGAACCTCGAACAATTTTTTAAAGTAAAGAGCTTTGATCATCTGAGGGTTTATGAACTGAAATTAATGAATTAGCAAGGTATGCCTTATTTGGATTGTTTTAGATCTGCTGCAAAACCAAAGCTTAAAGAGGTAAATAGTTGTGCAAGGTCATATAGCTACATCCCTGGGTGAGAATCCGAAGACAAATACGGCACCTGAGACCACACCCTTAACTATTGAGCCATATAACCATCCAACTGGTTTTAACATATGCTGTCCTCACATTTCTAAGTATTTTAAGTATCCTTGGCTTTTTACCTATCTCCTTGCCCAAGCTCTCAACAAGCTTGGTTGGAAGGCTTATCACATGCATCTCTTTAGGAACTGAAAACATGCAAAAGCCATATTACTTCATGATGTGGTTCTTAACTTTTTCTCAAGATACTTTTGCTTCCCACATTCTAACTTTTCTAAACAATGTGGATTCTTACTTATTTTTTCTCTTTCAGGGGAAATATTAAGATCCTAAAGAATGCCTACCATCCTGTTTAGTGAAGCATTTGTACCATTTTTAATGTTTTGCTTTATTCTTTTTTATTCTCTTTAATTGCTTGATCAATCTTGCATTCTTACATCTGGTAATCTGAGCAACTTTGTTGAAGATAACAATGTGTAGTATAACAGTCATTGTTAATTTCCTACCATCTTGTTTTGAAATTCTGTATCATATTTATTATTTTTGTGTTGTTTTGTGCTTTCTTTGCTGGTATTTTGTTATTGTTTTTTCTCTTTAAAATAAAAACAAATTTTGAAAGAGAATATTTTGCTGCCACCCTTGCCTCCAAAAAGTTTATAATGAGGGTTTAGCCATGAGCTGAAGTGGAGGGCGCTCAGATCAGTGGTTATGTTGCAGATCTGTGGCTGTGGTTTCCAGGGCTGAGGGCAAGAATGTTTTTCTTACTGCATATATCAGCACCAAGCTACAAATGTTCAATTAGCAAAGCACTAAATGTATTGGTAGGGGCTGGGGATTTAGCTCAGCGGCAAAAGCTCCTGCCTGGCAAGCGCAAGGTCGTGAGTTCGGTTCCCGGTACCGGAGAAAAACCCAAAAAAATAAATAAATAAATAAATGTATTGGTAATGTCTTTATTACTTAAGGTCCAAGTAATTTTCATGAGCTTTTTATCATCTACTTGTATTTTCACTCTCCAAATTCTTTCTCTTCTGAACATCTTTAAGCATGTTTTGAACCACAGTCATTACTTTGTAGAGATGTCTGCAAATAAATCTTCTGATGTTAGCTTGTTTAATATAAGAACTATTTTCTCTTTTTTCTTGAGGGAATTCATAGGTATCAGCCAAAAGTAAGTACACCATTGAAGTGAGAATTCCAGCTTGGAGTGTGTCTCCTCCCTACTCTGCTCTGTCTAAATGTCAGTGGGACCCGAGACCCCTCCAAGTTCTGAAGCTGTGGGCCAGACTGCAGCATAACAAGTTCATCCATCATTGTGACCAGACAATGCTGAGACTGCCAGAGTTTCCTGACGAGGGTGGGATGGGGAGTTGGAGTCTGGTATCAGAGCACACACAACTTTTCCAAGGATGCTTCTGACCCTGCCTTTGTTGTTTTAATTAGTATACTACCAAAAATAAAGTTTAGCACTGTTTTGGTAACATGCTGCAAACCACGTTGTCCAGTGCTCTGTGAAGAACCCCTACAGAACTCATTTGTTTGCCAAGCAGGGCTAGACTGAATCGTTCCTTGGACTGTCATCTCCCTCTTGCTTTGGAAACAGACATTTCTATTACACCTCTTTGCACAACTCCTTAGTTGGAATATGTGATTTTCTTTCCAAATATCAGCCAAGTTATAAAGTGGATTTGCTAAGAAATATTTGTATTTTAAAGAGAATTTTTAAAACAATAAAAATGATACAGAATTTCAAAACAAGATGATAGGAAATTAACCATGGTTGTTACATTGCATAATGTTATCTTCAAAGTAATTGCTCAGATTACCAGGTATAGGCATGTAAGGCTGATCAAAAAACATAAACACTGTTTCTTTCAATGAATGAATAGAAATTAGTAGTGCAATTATCTTGCTAAGAAAATTTTGCAGTGTAAATTATTCCCATGAAGCCATAGTAAGAAAAGAATAAGGAAGATAGGCTCACCATTTAATCTTTTGAAAAAATAAATAAAACCATGTCACCCTCTTTCTTAAAACTTCTGATGGCTTCTCATTACTGAAATTTCAAGTTCCTCAGCATAATCTGCAAGGTGCAGCATAACTTAGGGATGCTCTGCTGCTTCCTGCTCAAACACTATTATACCAGGTTTAAAAGATATAATTGTTGGAACTGCTGGTCCTCCTCCTTTAAGAGCACTCAAGACTAATTTACTTGTGATGCTATCTTCCTGTCTACCTTAGTCATCACAAAAATTACAAACACTCCAAACCACCTCCCTCTTTAACCAAAGTGGTATTCATCTTCAAAATCCACAATAGTCTAAATTTCTTCTCCATAGATTCTCTTCCCTTTTATCTCCTCTAACTGAAACTTTGTATTCTTCGAGAACATCCTTCCCATGTTGTTCCCTTAAACAGAGTCTCTCAATACTCCAAGTTTCTGTGGTCCTAAAAGTAGGGTAGGTGCCCTTGCTATTCCTGGTTGCCTTTTCCAATTCATTGGCCTCCTCTCTCCTCAAAAACTATAATTCCTTTCTGGGAGGATGAAGTGGGAGGATCACAGGTTCAAGCCCCTCTTCGGCAAAGAACAAACTGTCTCAACAAAATTAAAAAGGCACTGGGGATGTAGCTCAGTGCAGAGGTCCTGGGCTCACTTTTCAGTACCACAAAAAAGCAAAGTATTCCTTTCATATATATGTGATTGGATCATATTATTGCTTGTTCAGTTACTCTTAGGTTCTTCTTAGCTCAGAAAATTTAGCTCCTAAGTTACTATCTTTCACTGTCCCACTTACACATACTGCTTTTCTTAGAGACCTGAATAGCTACATACATAACGCAAACATTCTGGCCTCTCAGTTCTTAACATCTCGCTCCCACCTTTCACTTTTGAACACCTCCTTGTCTCTCTTTACCTGTCTTGGACTTTACAGGCCACTGCCAATTAAACAGTCTCTGTGTGCCAACTCCCTCCCTCTCTTTCCTTTCTACTGTTTCACAGAAGAACTTTAAAAGTTCAGCAGGTTCTCACTGTCTGCTTCACAACCTGTCTTAAACCCACTCTAAGCAGGCATCTACTTCACAACATCAGTACATCTGCCTTAGTCAGGTCAACTGCAACCTCTACATGGGAAAACTCACTACATACATCTCAGTCCTTATCCTAATTAACTCTCAGCAGAATCACACAATAAGCCTTTTGCTTGTGACATTTTCATCTCCTTACTTTAAAGATATCACACAGCTTTCTTCCTCATCCTCAGATTTCTCTGCAGTTTTTACAAGTCACTGGATTTTTGCTATATTGTTAGACTAAAGGCTAACCACTATAAAACATTTTAAATCTCCATGGTGCAGAATCTCTTGCTACTTTACTAAACCCAGTGGTCAAATCTCAGTCTTAAGGCAAAAGGGGGGGGGGTATAACTGTGATTGGCAGTTAGAGACACTCTCCAGAGGGTCTATCCAAAGGCCCTTAGTAGCTTTTAGTCTGAAGGAGAAAAGGACAAAGAAACATTTAAGTAAGCATGGGCCAAACAAAACCAAAAAGGTTATTATGAATATAACTGTTATGGTTTGGGGTTTTTGCAAGGAGAACAATATAATACAGGACACATATTTTATAAGATTATTTATAATAGTCACCCAAAGAATCATATACAAGAGAGTGCAAGAAATCT